ACATGATAGAGATGAGGTTAGCTTTTAGACCAGTATTATGTATTAATTGTTAATAAAAAAACTAAGCTAATATTTGCAAATGTAAGATAAGCTCAATTCAAATCAGAAAAGGTTCATTTTTTATAAGCCAACGTTGTATCGAAAAAGAAGTGTTTTCCAAAGATATCGGAGGTTTAAAACAAGACAACTTGGTAACTGGTAATAATTTTTTTCTACAAAATTTATGAGGGTTCAATTTAAACAAACTGTGTAATCAGAGGGTGCATTTTTTGTTCTTTCTAACTGAATTTTTTTTTTTTCTTTTTAATACTTTCTTGGGCTGGGGGAGAGGGGGTTTCGGGCGATCCCCGTTAACTATCAGCTGTTCTGTGTTTACTATTAACTGAACGTTGTAAAGGTTAAATGAAGTTACAATGCAAAGTATGGAAGCAATGGAAGTAGAGGATTGTTTCACATTTTTGTCTTCTTCTTCATCTTCGACGATTGTTTGATATTTTTGTCTTCTCCTTCATAATTCAAATTTTTTAATACAAGTCCTTTCTTTTTTCCCTTCGGCCGCTTCATACTGATCATGTTCGAAAAGGTCGACGAATTCATCAAGATCTATAGTGATGACACAGAACTTATACTGTCATCATCGGATGAACTAGAAGACGAAGATGAAGAAGGAGACGAAAATATCAAACAATCGTCTACTTCCATTGCTTCCATACTTTACTGTAACTTTAGTTAACCTTTACAACGTTCAATTAATAGTAAACACAGAACAGCTGATAGTTAACGGGGGTCGGGCGAGCGCGGGTTGACGGCGTGCGCCCAATCTCGGTCCCCGAACATACCTATGGTCATGGTCATGTTACGGACTAGTCAGTCACTTACAACTCCAACTCCATAGTTGTCCAGTTATACAGTTCATTGTCATTAGCAGACGACGCTCGTAGGGTAAACAAAAAACACCTCGGTCCAGCTAATGTAGTATATTCTCATATTTGTGCAAATTGGGGATGTCATTTTTGTAAAATAAATACTGTCTGGAGCAATAAATTTGAATTTGGTAATCATACTTTTACTCTGCAGTCTTCACTAATGTTATTTGTGTGTGTTTGAATTCGATTCAGCTTGGTTAACCTATCAAATTCAGTTCAACTTGTTACTTTTGTAATTTCGTTTTATTGTTATTCAAGTAGTTGTATGTCTTTTTCTCCTAGTACATTTTCAAGTTGTGTTATTACGTGTTTATCAAAAACGTCTTTCTTATTCCAGAAATATTGATATCAGCTATAGTGTTCAAGTAAGGATATAACCATAACCATGAGTTACCGTCAAAGTAACCATGCCAAAAAGTCTAAAGGATTTGGGTTTATTGGCTTTCAAATGCCCAGTAGTCGTAAGCGTGCTGGAGCTGCTATACCTCCTCCACCACAAAACTCGGGTTTTAGCAAGCAAGGTTATCACACGATGAATTCCATCACTGAAACTGCCCTGTCAGCCAGCTGTGGAGCACCAAAGAAACGCAGTAAAACTGAAGACGAGTTGGGTTATTTGGTTCAAAATTAAATGAAAAATTCTATGTTATGCATTTTTAAAATATATATCAACTCGATAGGTACTTTGATGATGATGATGATGATGATTCGTCGAAACTGGAATACATTCCAGCGCCAGGCTCACCTTCGTACCAAGAGCCCGCAAAAAAGAAACTTGAAAGCCATGATGACAGTGACAGCGAAGAGGATCCATTGGATGCATTCATGGCTGGAATAAACGCTCAAGTTGAAAGAAATCAAAACGAAAATAAGGATGATAAAAGTAGAGGTGTTAGAGCAGACATTGATGTCGAGGATGATGAAGAAAGTTATTACAGGTAATACAATACTTATAATTGTTGCAAATTATTTTGTACATCATCATCATCTTGATTGATCACTAGATATATGGAAGAAAATCCAAATGCAGGGCTCCATGCAGATGACTCTGATCAAGAAATTGAATACGACGAGGATGGGAATCCTATAGCTCCGCTTAAAAAGAAAGAAATTGATCCCTTGCCTCCAATAGATCACAGTGTCATTCCTTATGAGCCATTTGAAAAGAATTTTTACAATGTGCACCAAGACATTGCGAATCTCGATAAACAGCAAATTGATGATTTGAGAAAAACATTGGGCATCAAAGTGACAGGGCCAGCTCCGCCTCATCCCGTATCAAGTTTTGGACATTTTGGGTTTGATGAGCATTTAATCAAGGGCATACGAAAATACGAGTACACTCAACCCACTCCGATTCAGGCACAAGCAATCCCTGTGGCAATGAGTGGCCGAGACTTGATTGGCATTGCTAAAACAGGTAGTGGTAAAACGGCCGCATTCGTATGGCCCATGTTAATTCACATAATGGATCAAAAAGAATTGGCTGATGGTGATGGACCCATAGGACTCGTTCTAGCACCAACCAGAGAATTGTCGCAACAGGTGATAATTTTTTGTCCTTTGAAACCAAGTGATGTTTTACAATTGGTTTTTTTTCCCCCATCCAGATATATCAAGAGGCAAAAAAATTTGGTAAAGTGTACAATATAAGGGTTTGTTGTTGCTACGGGGGTGGCAGCAAGTGGGAACAGAGCAAGGCTTTGGAGGATGGAGCGGAAATCGTTGTGGCCACTCCAGGTAGACTAATTGACTTGGTCAAAATGAAAGCCACCAATTTAGAACGAGTTACATTTTTGGTTCTCGACGAAGCCGATAGAATGTTTGACATGGGTTTTGGTAAGTATCAAAGAGTCACTTGTAAAATCATGGATACATTGACATCATCGAATTTTTAACCATTAGAGCCACAAGTGAGGTCCATATGTAATCACGTTAGGCCTGACAGGCAAACGTTGCTCTTTAGCGCTACTTTTAAGAAAAGAATCGAAAAACTTGCCAGAGACGTGTTGACTGATCCAATAAGGATCGTTCAAGGTGATGTTGGCGAAGCGAATACAGATGTAACGCAGCACGTGGTAGTATTTAACAATGATCCCATTGGTAAATGGAATTGGCTTAATCAAAATTTAGTCCAATTTTTAAGTAATGGCAGTTTGCTAATATTTGTCACTAAAAAGGTAAGGCTTGATGATTATCATCAAATCGACAAATTTTTGCGTATAATGGAAAAAAATTTTTTAGTTGAACGCCGAAGAATTAGCAAACAACTTAAAGTTGAAAGAACACGACGTTATGTTGCTTCACGGAGACATTGACCAAATTGAACGAAATAAAGTTATAACTGCTTTTAAAAAGAAACAAGTTGACATATTAGTTGCTACAGATGTCGCAGGTATGTTTAATCGCTTGTATTTTTCCAATTGAAAATCATTGTTATCATCATCGTAATCATCTGTGCAGCTCGAGGTTTGGATATTCCTCACGTAAGAACGGTTGTAAACTACGACGTAGCCCGGGACATAGACACTCACACGCACAGAATCGGCCGAACTGGTCGAGCTGGGGAAAAAGGTACGGCATATACGCTCGTTAACGAAAGGGACAAGGAATTTGCCGGTCATCTCGTGAGAAATCTCGAAGGAGCAAACCAGCAAGTACCAAAAAATTTGATGGACTTGGCTCTGCAAAGTAATTGGTTTAAAAAGTCGAGATTCAAAAGCGGAAAGGGTAAGCAAGTGACCGTAGGTGGTGCAGGTTTTGGTTTTCGAGGCAAAAGCACGCAATCTGAGCAGAGCTCGGAATCATCGTCAACCTCTCAAGGATCCAAAGATATTAGCCAAGTAGTCAAAACGTTGGAGAAAGCAGGACCATGCAGCGACCGACTTGCGGCAATGAAAGCTGCTTTCAGGAGTCAGTACAATACACAGGTAATGTTCATTTTCACTCCAACAGTCTCTTTGTAACCATTCGTACCAGCAAACATTCATTTTTTAGTTTCGAGCTTCGTCGGATCACACCTGGGAGCAAACGATAACACCTTTATCTGTGATTATGCCACCACCTCCGCCTCCGCCAAGCACTCTGACAACTTCTTCAACACCTTCAAACAGCCAATCGACCCAAGAAAACTCCAACGCAGTACAATTTGAGAAACAGGATCGAAAAAGTGCCAGGAAAAGTCGGTGGGAGTAAAAGTGGTGTGTGTGTGTGTGTGAGTGAGAGAGAGTGTGTGTGAGAAATATTTGTTGATCATTTTATCATTTATCGTCGTAAAAAAATAATGGTTGTCGATTATTATGTTGTAACGACCATTTTTATTTTATATTTTACTTACAAAAAAATAATCGCTTCGTGATTTTTTCCATTTTTTTCTTTTAAATATTTTTAACGTACATTACTCCAAAAAATCATTTAAAGTCTCGCAAATGACTCACCCCACGCTATTAGTATAGTTTTTGTTTACGTAAAAGTCTGATATCATTTGGTGATTTGTATCCATCATCAGGCTGTAGATGCTTTTATTGCTTGTATTTTTACTCGTCATTGAATATAGTTTCAATTACTATCAGTAATTATCTTAACTGTAGGTGATAAAAATTTATTATGAAAATAAATTTAAAAAATTTATGATTGGTCGAAAAAAAAAATAAAAGTTCGAGGTATTGAATAACAAACATAGTTTCATCTAGTAAAAAATGTTTATTCACTACTTGCTCATGAATATAATTATATTTCTGAAAACTAAAAACAAATACTTCATTGAATAACGCATGACATGCTCATTGATACTCAAAAGCAGCTCCAAAAAAAAAAAAAAGTTAACGCTTAATGTTTCAATTTACTATTACAAACATCCAAATCCTTTCATTTTCAGCTGTATTTTGTAAACGTAACTACAGGTTTTCAAAGCGAAAACCAGCTGGCATTTGGACTAAATAATTGTATTCGGATATACTTACGTGTAAGTTTAAGAATTGATTTGCGAATTCTTGGACCTAGCTATATTAACTTCATTAAAAAAAAAAAAAAAAAAAAAAGGTATTTTACTGTACGAACCACCAGCTCATAAGATGGTTTGGCTGAACAATTTTTTCAGAAATTTTTCTAGTGGATTTACTTGACAGATTTTCCGCAAATAACTAGGCGCTCTCGGCGCATGCACACAGTGCATATCATTGAGAGTTGACTTGCTCTCTCTCTCTCTCTCTCTCTCTCTTTGGCCTTGTTGCCATCAGCTCTCTCTCTTGGTTAACTAACCGGTTGATGGGTTGGTGTGTGACTGTGTGCAGTCTTCTGATTCTCCTTTCGTGCACGGGTCAACACAGTGTTTACATCATGACGCCTAGCTTTGATTCTTGGCTGAGCATCAAGCTCCAGGATCTCAAGACGGATGAAGGGGTCTTTGGCTCGTATATCAAAGGTATCCTGGAAGGCGACGAGACCGAGGACGAAAAGACCGAGGCGCTCGAGGCGACGATCGCGGGTATAACGGTGAGGGACCGTTTGGATTTATTAAGGTTAGAATGTAACTGAAATTGGCACGTAACTTGCAACACACTGTGTAATGTTATTGCTAGATAATATATAGTAACCAATAACCTTATTTGATCTGCTGACAATCGATTCAAATGGGCCCCCCTTGCATGCACAATTAATTCAACCAAGTAACCTGCTTGTCAATGTCCACAGAATGATTGCATTAACCAACATGTGACCGAAATCTTGAGGGCCTGGGCCAAGTGGCGCCCAGCCGAGGATGCAGAGGACGACAACGGACCCAAAGAAGACGTGGACGTAAGGCTGGCTCGCATGCTCGAGTCCCAGAGTTTGGCCACCATGTCGCACAAAAGCCACCACACCGAGGAGGACAAACGAATCAAGGAAGCTATTCTTGCACAGTACAGTCAAATGTCCGACGAGGAGGAAAGCGACGCAGAAGGGGACGAAGAAGGCGGATCCTACGGATGTACCGGGTCTGTCTCTGGTCTGGAGAAAAACACAAACGCGGCGACGATCGCACAAGCCGAGAGGGAGAGACGGGAGCGAGCCAAACTCGAAAGCATGAGGAAAAAAGAAAAGGACAAGGAGGACAGGTGAGCCCACTCCCCATAGTTTGATCAAGTCTGGTTGACGGTAGGTATTTACAATCCTTTTTCTTTACAGAGAGAAACAAAAAGCCCTCAAAGAGGAGAAAAAGGAAAAAAGAAAGACACAAAAGGGTGAAAGACGAAGGTAGCATTAAAAATTTTGAGCGCAAAAACATCTCTGGACAACTCTATCCGGAAACTGCTGAATGTTTCGTCTTGTTTCTGATTCTTCATTTATTTGAGCATTGAAAAGTGGAAAGTTGACGTTGCGACCGTCTACTTAGATGATGTTCAAATTTATTAAAATGCCAAAAACCGAATCATCAAGGGTGTGTTTGTCGCTAGTGCTGTATCTTGTGCCAGCATTGATGTGCAGTGTTTTTTTTTTTTGTCTCGAATGCTGGTACAGCCAAGTGTCCGAGTGCTTTTGTTTATATGTTTTATGATTCGATTTATTTTAAATTGAAATATTTAATTGTTAAGATGAGTAATGAATAAAAATTTACATTTAAACATCATCATCATTTTCTTATTTACTGGGTTGATGGGGAAAGGACATGTTTGTACAAAGACAATAAACAACTTTACGGGAAATGCTGTTCAAATTTTATTTTGTCGTGACAACGTTTCGACTACACTTTGGTCCTTCTTAAGTCTCTAAATTTAACAATATAAAATAAACTTTTAAAAATCACNAGCAAGCTCCCAGAAAATTACCTACGTGATGCGCGAGTGTGCTTGATATTTATGAGCGCCTAATTTTGAACTTACATCGTAACAAACAAAAAAAATGTATCCATTTTTATGTAGTTATATGACTGATGGTCACAAGCTATATATTACAGTTTATGTTTTCTAAAATTTTTCAGTAAAAGATTGTTTAGAATTTAAAGTTCAAAGATAAACTGTAAATTAATTTCGACATTATCATTTTTTTAACAATAACACTGAGGGACGACAGTATATAAATAACTCAAATAATTTCAAAACCTTTTTAATTGTTTGTGTCTATTTCTGTACTTATAGTTTCGTGTAGTTGTGCATATTATTTTTTATGTACGTGTGCATTAGTCAACAGTATCACAAGCCATCCATGGTGAGTGATTAGACAAATTATTTCATGGACACCAGGCAGTAAAAAATTATGATGAATAAATATCGTCATAATGACAATTAACTTATTTAATTAAAGTATCCACAGTTGCTTTATTGTACATTTTTTTCAATTTTTTATCGAACACATCCTTTGGCTTTGTTTGATAAGTTACATTAATTTTCTGCCAAGATACACAATTTTCTTTCTCAAGCTTGAACTGCTACATCTGTACGTCTAAACTGCCGGAGTTACGGACTAATCATCATCTTTACGTCTCCAATTACAACTATATAGTTCCTATAGGTTCTCAGTGGTGCCGTCGACCATGAGGTATGTTCGGGGACCGAGATTGGGCGCACGCCGNAGTGTAATAATTTATTTATTTTTTGTAAAAACTGTGTTTATAAGAAAAAATTTAGAAATTACTTAAGCTGTTGTGATTCTTAAAAGTTTATGTTATATTGTTAAATTTAGAGACTTGAGAAGGACTGCCAAAGTGTAGTCGAAACGTTGTCACGACACAATAAAATTTGAACAGCATTGCCTGTAAAGTTGTTTATTGTCTTTATACATTCCTCGCTGTTCTTGGAATCCTCTTGGTGTTTATACTGACATGTTTGTAGTGGACCAAGGAAAGGTTACAGTTGTCACCAATGGTTTTTGTCAAAATTTGAGTACGCAATTTATTCATTGATCAAATATTGTTCGTCAATTTGCCCAACGAGCCAATTTCAATCAGTCCGTACCTCTTTACTCATTCACTACTGACAAGTTATGTCGAGAGGTGTAGATGACAATACCTTTTTTTTTTTTGTTATTTAACTTTCGATGTTGAGCAAATTAACAACACGATGAGTAGGGTTTTAGGAACAAAAATAAATAATAAAATGGGACCATGAAAGAAGGAATAACTAAGAAAAAATTTAATTTCGGTTCAATTGTCCAACAAAAAATTCAATATATTTCATATTTCATTGACATGTCAAGTCATATGTATTAGAACAAGATTGAAAAGAAAATAGAAATGAAACGCTATAACAAAGTGCTTTTCCGTTTACTTGATGTTTTTTCAACAATACAGACTCGCACACACGTACAAATACAAATACAGTGCATAGACGTAGCGCAGAATACATCGCTATATATGATGTAAACGTTGATGTACAAAAATACTTGTTTGCAAAATCACGTTAATTTTTGTTTGCTGTTGAGAAATACAAATGACTTGACTTGACCGTGTAAGATCCACAAGTAACGTTTGGCGTTTCATTAATAAAAAAAGTGGCTGTCAGTAGCTCATTATTGCGCACATTAAGACGTGTCGCTTACAAAGAAAAAACTTTTTTTTTTTCCTATTTAAGTCGAGTGGCCGTCAAGTCCAGGTAAGCACCGAAACATAAAAAAGAAATTCTAACAATGTACAATACTTGGTATTTCAAACCGAATGAAAAAAAAAAAAAAAAAAAAAAAAAAAAAACCAAGACCACTTTGGTCATGAAAATAACGGCTACAACCACGGTGAGACCAGATTCCACACGACTGATTAAAAGTAAAATGGTGACTCACGCAAATTAATAATAATTAATAGACTAACAATTGTTTTGGTAAAGACAACATCAAGTAACTACGCCAATAAGTTGCAAAAAATTTGTATAAAAAATAGGCATTACATTTCAAGTGATTTTTTTCTTGCAAATGAAAAAAAAAAAAAAAGTTTTGCAAGGCAATATCTTACTCATCATAATCGTTATTTGAAAAATTGAGCTACAATTGAGTGTAATGTAGAAAACAAGATCAAATTTAACATAGTTTACTTTGGTAAGTTAAGCCATACATAAAAGACGCAATAAACGCTTCATCACAAAATCTTGTATTTCTCTATAAATATATTTATACATAGCTATGACTTTCTCAGTGTAACCGAGAATACTTAACGTAAGTACATAATTTCTTTTCAGCTAATTATACATTTATAAAATTTTTATGATTATCTTTACTTCGTGTGCTCAGACATCGATCAAATTAGCTTCTCGACTAAACACCTTATCACAAACAAAGATATCATTTCGTGTTTTCCCCAGATAAAGATTCAAAAGAAATTTACTCGAGTAAAGATAATAAAATTATAATGCAAAAAAAATCAAAGATCGCAACAAACGGTAGTTTTGTAATGATTGCTAGTAAAACGAAATTAACGATAATTGTTATTGTTTTGACTAATAACAATATTAACAGCAACACGACACTCGCACAGTCGACGACAATCATACTATGATGCTCATTAATTGACCACCAGTTTCAATTTCATTATAATGTTGTTGGTAATAACGTGCAAGCCCAATCAATAGAGAAATATGGTTACGAGTAATTTTTACAGGAAAAAAGACGAAAAAACATTTATGCAGAATACCTAGGAATTTCTCGATTAAAGTCTTTTGTGTCTTGATAATTTCCATTGATGGAATATCAATAAATACGATTTGTAAGAGCAATGTTGGTACTGCTGTTTTTGTTATTTCAAATATAAATAATATTTTCAAAGATGACTAAAAGTAATAAATAATGATACAAGCGCGAAAAATTGTGTCTCATCGCTTTAAAAGTACAAAGTATACATAAAATGTATGCTACGATTTGTCGTCTTTAGTAAGTTTTCTTTCTCTTAATCGTGTGTTTCATAATGAGACGTAATCATCGATGCTGCAGACATGTGGGTAAAAAAAAAAAAAAAA